CGCAGACCAAAACATTATGCCCCAAGCCATGGTGGATGAACTTCAAACGTTACAGCCACAACTTCAAGTTGTCAAGTTGGCTGCGCCATTTGTGGGAACAGCATGCAATCAGATGCCGTTCGAAGCGAGCTCTTACGTGGACCTTACCCTAACGATGCAGACGGCCGCTGGACCAGTCAAGGTGTCAGGCAAGCGCCGCTGCTATGTGGTCAACGACGGAGATGAATTCCTCGTCTCGGATGACACCCTCAAGATCATTGGTATCGACATCGCGCCTGCAAGTGGATGAGGACGGCGATGACCTGGAAGAAGTTGGTGGCGATTGCGTGGAATTGCCCCAACGATCGGCCGTCAGAACCGCTACCATGAAGGCGGCGCTACCTGTAGCCAAGAATGAACTTGAGGAAGCCCTGCAAGGCATGATCGACGGCGCAGTCGATAACGGATTTCCAATGGAACATGTTAAGTACTTGTGGGATGTGCTCAGCAAGCATGACATCCGGCGAATCAAGTTCGACGGGTCAGACCCACCGGCGAAGGTGAAGCCGTTGAAGGTGACCCCGAAGGATGGGTGTGTTCCTTACCGATGCAAAGGAAGGAAGCACAACCTCCTGGAGGAGAGGTTCCTCAAGTTGTTTGCACAAGAACTACTCGATGCGGGCGTGATCATAAGCAACCAGCAAAGTGCATGGTGCAGCCCGGTGAACCCAGTTCTCAAGCCAGTAGGGCGCAAGTCATTGAAGTCGACCGACAAATGGAGCGACGATGATGTGCTCAAGAACTATCGGTTAACCAACGACTACCGAGTAGTCAACTCACTGACCGAGCCGAAGGCGGGGACGATGCCGTTCCAGACTACCATCCTCCAGAACCTACGGGGCAAGAAAGCGATGGGCGTGTTTCACCTGCCTAAGTGCTTTTGGCAGTTCCCACTGCACCCAGACAGCTGGGACATGTTGTCGTTCATGCTGAACGGATGTGTGTACACCCGGATCGTGTGATGCAAGGCCATGTGGACAGTGCCCTCTACGTGCAATCAACGAACGAGGAGTGCTACAAAGACCTGCTCTACAAGAACATGCTGATCTGGATCGACGACATCTTTGTGTACGCCGACACAGTGGAAGAGTATGTGGATGCCCTCGAGTCGTTCTTCGATCGAGTAGCCCAGTACGGGTTCAAGCTGAGTCCGGCCAAGACCAAGCTGTTCACGGATCAAGCAAAGTGGTGTGGACGTATCATCAGTGGTGATGGCGTCAAGCAAGACCCTGAACGCATAGAACATCTGTGTGCGATTCCCTACCCTACGAATGCGGCAGAATGCAGCAGTTTGTGTGCGCCATGAACTGGCTGCGGGACTCGATGACAGAGTACGCACAGACCGTCGACCTCCTGCAGCAGTGTCTGACGAAGGCCCTCGAAGGCAAGGGCAAGAAGAAGCGGATCGCGTCTGGTGTTCAGTTCGAACTGACCGACGGCGAGAAGCAGCGTTTGACGCCGTGAAGTCCAAGCTACGATCATCGGTGGAACTGTCTCATCCGCGTGATGACGCCACGATGTGTCTGTTTACGGATGCGAGCGATCATGGATGGTCGATTGTGGTAACACAAGTGGTGGCATTCGATGATGACAGCCCAGTCCAAGAACAACGTCACGAACTGCTCTTATGTCAGTCGGGGATGTTTGCGGGCGTCCAGAAGGCGTGGTCAGTCATCGAAAAGGTGGCCTACCATATTGCGCGTGCGTGCGAGAAGCTCAATTACATGCTTATGCGACCTACGGGGTTCAAGATGTACTGTGACCACAAGAATCTCATCCATGTCTTTGCCCCGGGCGAAGAATGGAAGGCGCACACACGCGGCAAACTCATGCGATGGGCTGCCATTATTGGCGGCTATCGTTATGAAATCATACACATCGACGGCATCCACAACCTTTGGGCGGACATAATGAGCCGTTGGGGTCAGCCGACACCAAGTCTGGCGACCAAGCGGGTCAAAATACGTCGGGGCCATGGCTGGTCAAAGATAGTCAAAGCGCGCAAAGTCCCTCCACCAGCACAATCAAAACTGCGACCGCTGGACAAGGACTTTGTGTGGCCATGTGTGGTGGACATCCGTCACGCCCAAGACCAGCATGGCAACGACAAACCGAAGCGAGCTACTGTGGTGGACGGACTGTGGCAAGTGGACGAGCGGTATGGATACCGAGTGCGGCGAATGACCTGATTCAACGGATCATGGTCGTTGCCCACTGCGGCAGCGCCGGGCACCGAGGACATGCAGCGCTGGTGGCTACTATCCGCCGCCTGTTCTATGTCGACCACTTGGCCGACAGAGCCAGTGAATTCCTCCGTGGCTGTTTGTTGTGCCCTCATGTAAAAGGGGGAAGGGTGGTCCATCGACCGTATGCTCCGAGATGGCACACAAAAGAACGCAACGAAGGAATCCACTTCGACTACCTCTACATGGGCGAAGCGTTCAGCGGCGCTAAGTATGTGCTGGTACTCAAAGACGACCTTACTCATTACTGCGAACTCATTGCATGCGACGGACCCACGAGCCAAGTATGTGTGGATGCCCTGGTGGACTGGACAAAGCGGTTAGGAATGCCACCAGTCTGGGTTAGCGACCAAGGAACCCATTTCACGAACGTGGCCATGAAGGCGCTAGCCCACAAGTTCAAGGTCCATCATGACCTAACCTTGGCCTACTGCCCCTGGCGCAATGGAACGGTTGAGCGAATGATCCGCGACATCCTTCAAGTGATGCGGGTCATGTTGCGAGAATACCAGCTAGCCGAACAAGAATGGGACTACCTATTGCCGGTGGTCCAAGCCAACCTCAACCAAACACCGGCAGCATCACTGGCGAGCAAGTCGCCGATGGAGCTGTTCACGGCTTTGAACCCGGCGACTCCCCTGGAAGTCGTCGTGGTGGGCATGAACAAGGAACTCCGAGAGAGCGACTGGACGGTCAAGGACATCCCCAAAAACCTGGACAAGCTGCGTGCTAGCCTGCAAGTCATGCACAAAGAAGTCCTAGACAAGAATGTCATGCGTGTGGCGAAAGCAACGAAAGCGATCGAGAAATACGAACTGTGCAACATCAGCGAAGGCGACTACGTGCTCTGGTCCCGTGTCGACGAACGCTATCACCCCAAGCTGCTCGTAACCTGGACGGGCCCCTACCGAGTCAAGGAAGTGGGCGAATTCTCCGTCGTTTTGGAGCACTTGGTGACCCATTAACTGCGGGAAGCGCACGCATCAAGAGTCAAGCTCTACGCCGAAGACAGCTTTGAAGTGACCGAAGAGATCCTCGAACAAGTTTCCGAGCAAGGAATCATGCTGAAGGTCAAGTCCATCGCGGGACACAAATTTGTCCCGGATGTGAAAGACTTCATGCTGGAAGTGCTTTGGGAAGGTTTTGAAGATATCGAGTCCTCATGGGAACGGCTGCAGAAGCTCATGCATGAATACCCGGCTGTGGTGAAGATCTACGTTGAAGGCGTGAAGACAGCGAGCGAAGGCGAAGAATTAGCGAGGCCCAAGTGTGTCCTGCGGGACATGGCTTGGGGTGTGTGTTGTGGTGGGCGACTTAAGCCAAGTCCCGCCATGACACAGGTGGTCCTCAACCGAGGCCACCAGGTGCCGACCCTTGGCGAACCGACATGAAAAGACATAGTATTACTAGTAGTATTACTAGTAGTACTAGGACGTAGAAAACAGAACACCTGTCCCAGCCAACTGCCAGAATCTCACTCTTGGTTCTGCAACGTCGTGCTAACGTCAAGTCAATCAAGTGTGTGGTTTGCAGGGAGTCGGCACTCCCCCATTTGGTTGTTTGTGTTGGCACTGGCGTGGGAAACAACACAACTACGCTCTCTCGGTAGTCGCCTATGAAGCGACCCTCACGAGTGCAGCCGTGGTGAAGAACAACAAGATGTACAGCCTGAACGAGTATACGACTACCGGCATCATCAGAGCGGACTTGGAAAGCCGTCTTAACCAAATCCAACTCCGAGAAGCAGATTTGGCGAACAAGGTGACGGCGGAGTTTATTGAAACGACGATGGTGAATATGAGGACGCAAGTGAAGAACTTTCTCATCTCCTCCCTACCGTACTCTTTACCTTTGCACTCTTTTGGAGCACCACATCTCACGTTTTGCCTTGTGGAAAGCGATCCTCAAACGATTCAATACCGAATCCCTTCCCCCTGATCCCTCGGCCCTCATTGCTACCATCCAAAGAATGCAGTACAGTCGCAAGATCAGCCTCTCTGCGTCAACTTATGCAGCGGTTCGAGCCACCATCTACCTTTGCAACTGCTTCGTGACCGAAACCAACGCCTGGAGCAGCATCAGTCACTCACTGCTCGATGCGAAGAAAACAGGTGCCAAGGAATTCACCTCTGACGAGATCAAGGCATCATTCTCGAAATAGATTTGAGACGAGAAACGCACATGGCCGACATTGGCAGTGCTAATTCACTCGTCCGTCGCCAATACTCTCACTCGTACTCAAGGTCTCCAACTCCCATCCTCCACCTGAAAATCAAACCGCACTTCCCATCACTCGAACAACCCCCTACTATCCCTTCCCAACCTCAAACGCGTCGCTCAAGTTGGACCCATCCAGAATGTTAAAGCCTTCCATTGCCTCCTGCTTATACTGCAGATCAGGCACTCGCATCCTCACTCTGTGCACCAACTTCTGTGAGGACTATCCCTACAACAAGATCTACCCGGGCGTACGAAGAAAGTCATCGATGCTCACAAGAGGCCATCGTCACGTTAAATCATGAACTATCATCAGCCCTAGCATGGAAACACCCATCATCGCGTTGGCGGTGACCATGACGACCGTGGAAACGAACATCAAAAACGTCCACGAGGTCGATCCATCGTGATCCGATACGCCGACATGACAACCGATGATCACCAGCACGCAAAGTCCAACACACCAACAACCGGAGATCATCAACCCACATCTCCTACATCATCTACTTCAACCCCCCTCTCGGTTCAACCTCTCGCTCCTTCTCACCCTCACCTCGTCGACTATGATCGCGCTCTCGATGCCTCTCGTCCTCACTTCACCAACGACGTCGTTCACACTCCCCTCGACATCATTCACCATCACAGTCTCGATCACTTTCCTACATCAACGTCGTTCCCGCACGTGCTCTCCATTTTACCGACCACGTACATGTTCTCCTTCACGACGACATCGTTCTCGTACTCCATCCAGACATCGTTTTCCCTCCCCTTCTCGATGCCCTTCCCGTCGACATCGTTCACGCTCCCCTTCCATGCAACACCAGCCTCGATCTCGACATCACTCTCCAACACCACCCCGTACATCCAACACATTCCTTGGCACTGCTCCTACTCCTGCTTCTGGACCCTCCCATACTCCAACCGATGCTCCATCCCATGCTCCAACCCCGAATCCATCTGGCCCCAAATCCAAACACCATCAAACATCACCCCCAAGTCCCATTCCACCTACTGATTCCAAGCGACCACGCACAACCCTATCAACCTCCACTCAACGAACTATTACCGTACCGAACGTCCCTCAGCCCCCTACCTCACTTTCGCATCCATCGCAACCCTACTACTACAGCCAAAGAACCTCCTTCCCATGCATTCAAGCCACCTATCCTGCGATCGGTCAAGACATCTACCTTCACATCCAACAAGTCGGTTCACTTCAACCTTCAAGATCATATACACTTCAAAATGAAGACTCAAGCCCCCACCACCTCTGGCAGTTCACTGTACCTCTTCCTGGTCTACTCCATCTCATTCAACCTTCAACATCCCGTCAAGATCATCCTCGATCAATCAAGTCCTTCGTCATCCTCTGCCGCGTTTACCATCGCGTCCGACTCTCGCCCCTCCAACGAATCACTGTACCGACTATGGCACAACCGATTTGGCCATCCAAGTGACTCGGTCTTCCAGTCCCACTTCAAGGACCACCTCGACTTCACCTCAAGCTGATCACGTCACCTCAAGTCCTTCACCTGTGACACATGCGAATACGCGAAGTCGCGAAATCAACCCTTTCAGTTTGCTGTTGACTATCTCGCGTCCATCTACCTTCTCCTGGTTCACACTGACAATCGACATATGGGAGCCCTGCCCAGTGCTGTCCATTTATGGCTGCTTCTACTTTGTCGTGTTTATCGACAACTACTCAAGATTCACCTGGGTCTACCCTCTTTGCATGCGCCACAACCTCTACCAAGCCTACGAAACCTTCCGACATGAAGCCATATCTTCAAGACCGACATCTCTACCCTCTATACACCCCCCCTTCGGACATCGGAAACCACCAAGCCCACAATACCAAAGCGTTTGAGAAAGTCGGACGCACTCTTTTCGCGAATTACAACACCAAGACCACCTTCTCCAACGTCTACTCACCTGCTCAGAATGCTGTGGCTGGGCGACGCATCGGTATCCTCATCACGAAGATCCGTGCCCTACTTCTTGGCAACCTATCTGACATCTACCATGACCTTAAAATTGACCTTCCACTTCGAAGTCCAGTGTACCGTCCCTTGATTCCCTCAATTGTTCAACACTACCCTGGAAACGCGCCAATCAACCACCTACCTGTAACACCATTTTCCCCTGTCCATTACCACACCAACCGTCGTCGACGTCTACATTCTACCTCCATCTCAGCAACCATTCATTTACCCTCGCTTACCATCCGCCCCTACCATTCAACGTCAACCACTTGAACCTCCCCTACTTCCTCCTTGACACATCTACGCTCTCCTTGGGTCGCGTGTTCCATCATCCGACTACCCTGAAACATGGAACGAAGCCATGCGAAGACCTGATCGTGCGAATTGGCTGCCAGCCGCTCAAGATGAACTTCAACTCCCTCAAACACAACGGAACCTATGTTCTCGTCCATCGAGCCGGCAAGAAGAAAGTCCTCCAATGCCGTTGGATCTTGCACTTTCACATCAAGTCCAACGTGACGTACAAGGCACGACTCCTCGTCAAAGTTTTCATGCAAGAACAAGGCGTTGACTACAACGAGATCTTTGCTCCCGTCGTCCGCCTCAAAGTCCTTCGATTTCTCGTCACATTGGTGGTCGTCTACAGCCTTGAATGCCATCATAAGGACGTGAAGACAGCCTTCCTCAAAGCGAAATCAAGTGCACCATCTACACGGAGCAACCTCCTGGCGACCTTGTTGACGACAAGTCATGGGAAGAAGTCTGTCACCTCCAAAGCAGTATCTGTGGACTCACGCAAGTACCTCACCTGTGGTGCCTCACATTCGTCGAGCACATGCTCTCAGACGGCTTCATCCACCTCCACAAGGACCGATGTGCCTTTGTCAAAGTCATTCGCTCCTCCTTTGCTATCATCAGCCTCTACGTCGACGACCTTCTTGTCATCGCACCTACCTTTTCCCTTGTTACTTCCATCAAGACCTCCCTTTCCAAGCGCTTCGAAATGAAGACTTTAGCGAAGCCGCCGACATCCTGAGTTGGCAAATCGTTCGAGACAAAGCAACCAAGTCCACCTTCCTCCATCAGTCCCGTTACATCGAGAAAGTCCTCGAACAATTCAAGATGTCCAAATGCAACGCCTTGGCCACTCCCTTCACCCCTGCAGTCCAACTTTCGATATCACATTGCTCCTCAACTCCTCACGACTTTGCCCTCATGGTGGGCAAGAACTATCGTTCCGCGATCGGCAACTTTATGTACTTGGCCATGAGTACTCGACCTGATCTCGCGTGCACCCTCCAACAACTCAGCCAATTCTTGCTCAATCCTGGGCCCGCCCATTAGTCGGCTGTTCAACGTGCCCTCCGCTACCTCATGGGCACTCAATCTTACGGCATTCGACTTGGCGGCATCACATACATTTCTACCTTTCTCTTCTTTGCGGCCTAAGTCGATGCCATCTATGCCATATGTACCGTCCTCACTTAAGAAAATAGAAGAACGTGAATGGAACACGCAATGTCCTTTCTTTAGCAGTCGTCAAATAGTGCCATTTTTTTCAATATGCATCAAATTGTATATGTTGATGAAAAATGGTTCTATTTGACGACAGTTAAGAAAAGATATTATGCGTACGAAGATGGAGTTGTCCCAACTCATCACTTCAAGTCAAGGCTGTTTATCACGAAGGTCATGTTTTTGGTAGCCGTGGCGCGGCCCCAGTACGACTTTCACAAGAAGAGTATGTTTGAGTATGTGGCCGTTTATTACCCAGGACCCTGCAAAACGCTCTTGCAAATACCGGCCTAAGGGTACTGTGATCACTGTTGCACAAAAGGTAACTGCGAAAGTTTACCGGGACATGATTATTCGGAAAGTTGTGCCTGCGATAAAGTCAAAGTTTCCTGTGTTGGATCAAAAGAAGTAATATGCATGCAGCAAGATAATGCAAGTCCACGTAACTGTGTGACTTCGCAGCTTATGCTACAGGCAGCCAACCAGGCCCCAAACAGTCCAGACTTAAATGTTCTAGATGTAGGATACTTCAATTCTATTCAAAGCTTACAAAGTCAACAGTTAACTCGCACAATTGAGGAGCTTGTTGATGCTGTAGAGTGCTCATCTCATGAGCTTCCTTTTGATACATTGTCGAAAAGCTTTATTACTTTGCAAAAGGTGATGGAGATGACTCTGCAGAGTATGGGAATGAATGATTACAAGTTCCCTCATATTCGAAAGGATGCTTCGATTAAGGACGTGACAACGTTCAATGTCAAATGCGATGCAACAATGCATGAGAACGCACTTGCTTCATGAATGACACTTCAATTACCAAGAAAGTAGTAATTCAAATATAATAAAATGTCATTATATTTTTGTGTTTCAGTATGTAATCTCAAAGGGTAATGCAAACTTTAAGATGTTCTCAAGCCGCCAACTATACTTTAATACAGATAAACAAACCGACCTCTTTTCCCGGATCAGAGTAGTATTACTTCCTCTGTTCCACAAATCTGTCGACCGACCAAAAATCAATTTGTTCCAAAATGTCTGTTGAGATATTTCAATATAATTGGCTAATACAACAAATCCATAGATTTCATTGGTTAAAAAGTTAATCAAACCACTGATGGCAGAAGTGCGTAGACGAGTGGCGACACAGGGCAAGCAACACTCGCCATGAGCGTACCAGCACGCCTCTTCGCAGCCTTGTTCAAATGAGGCAAGGGAAAGCGGTTGTCACCGTTGTTCTCGAGTACAAGACGCATGACGGCTTGCAAGGTAAGAAACACGTTGTCCAACTTACCAGCTTTGAGATGGTCGAAGACAGCCAAGGTTGCAGCAATAACCTCGTCAACGGAACGACTCACCGTCTTGTATGGAAGGGATCGATGTAATGTATACTTTAATTAGTATTAATTGTGGTGATTGATTGCCCCCAAACAAAGCCGATTTCGAGCACTTAAATTTGGTAATCGGGCATTGCACCCAATTACCAAATTTAGGTGCTCGAAATCGGCTTCCCATTTTTCCTCTAAATTCACATCTTCTTTCAAACTTGATTTGAATAATCGAGTTTTGACAAGAAATGATTTTTTGGGGTCTATGTGAAGTCCTAGGTCGACAGATTTGTGGAACAGAGGAAATATATTTGAACAGGAATAAAATATTGCGAAACTGTACTGCACTTTCTCTCTGATTCAGACACTCAACCGTACCACGTGTCAATCTTCAGCAGCTGTGTCAAACTCACACCAAAATAAAGGCAAGTTCCAGGCCAAGTATTTTCCCTGCATTATGGGCGTACCACCACCATATTGGCTGATTTGGCTTAGCATAAACGGTTGGTTTGATTTCGCAGGGAGGCAAGCAAATTTAGTTTCTCATTTACAATTTCCTCCCCTAGTGCCCATTGCGGGTGTCTGCAGCGTAATGTTCATCACAACCCAGTGCGCCTGTGTCCGCTTAGTACCCCAGGCTGTAGGTCCGTAAGGGGACAGGGCAATGGTTAGCCATTGAAGATTATTCTTCGAGGTGGGCAAGGTGCTTATGGAAAATTGTGATATCTCCCAAATATTAATAAATGCAATTTACTCGTTTCTTATTTACATTAATAATAGCGACTCCTGCACACAATATTAACAATAACCGCTTCAAACACACTACCATTAATACCCATGTGGAATTTCACTAAATTATATCTAACATTACACCAACATAATAACAATAACAAAAATAGTAAATCAAAAGATCATTTACCACCTAAGCAACAAACTAAATCAAAAGATCATTTACCACCTAAGCAACAAACTTTAGAACGCAATTGTCATCATTGATTACGATCGGCAAGACCACACATCCTCTTGCGAGGTCATCTTCTTACGCTTAGACTTCGCGGCAACTTGAGCTTGAAGCAATTCGTGGTAGTCAGCCGTAATCAACTTGCCACTTACTGCCAATGTCTTTCTCGCGGGAGTCTTGCGCTTCTTCAGTGCAGGCAAGAGCAAAACATGTCACGGACAAGCTCACGCCTTTGCAGCAAAGACTCGTCCACATCGACTTCACGGGTAGCAGATGGCTTGAAAAGAGACAAACGATACATCATCTTGTCCAACGAGATCGGACACAATCCCGCGCACACAAACCCATTGATAATGACAGCTTCATTGGTCGATTTGGTCCAAACGTTGCAATAAATAGAATGACGTGTTGCTTGTTGATATTCGTTGATAAATCGGTCCACATGGAACAGGCGACCGCATTTTAAATCGCTTCCTTGAAATGCCGAAACACTGTCACGTCGAGTGGTTGGAACAGGTGTGTCGCATTCGCATGCAGGAATTGCAACAAAATGTTCAAGGCTTCAGCTTCCACGTAGATGTATTCAGAGTAGTGCGACGAGCAGCCGTCCATGATCAGCTAAACAGGGCGCTCTGTTGACGGTGGAATATGTGCGCTAAGCAAGATAAGCCACTTGCGACAAATATAGGAGTTCGTCCACCGACCTTATCCGGATGATAAATGGTGCAAAAATGTGTTTGCGGGGACTTTAGATACTGGCGTAAACTTCATTTACGTACTCATCGCCGCCGAGATGGGCTGGACTGACAAATATGAACAAGGTGGACATCCTCCTGGGGTACATTGTGTCACCAGACTCCGACACAAGCACGCTACCGACACACTGGGCCCATGCGCTTCAGCACTGGGGCCAAATGACGTGGCTCATGACATGCTCAATGACATGGCTCATGAATCCACCGCGCAACACTCTCCCCAGCCCCCCACCGGCCTACACCCATGCAATCCTCTGGGATGCCGATAACGACGGCGACTCAGAAGACCCGACGTGCCACGAGGTGCACAGCTGGCTGCGAGCCAGTTTTCCACTTATATACCGGGCACCAGCCGCATGGCAACGACTTCCGACTATGACTAACAACACGCTACAATGGGCCACCGCACTCTCCCTCACCCCACGCCTCGGCAAAGACTTTCACCGCCGATAGTTCACTACCCATTGGACTACACTACACGCGTACTGGACCCACACGTGCCACGAACAAAACCTAGCTACCGCACAGGACGGGCGATACCGCACTAGCACAAGCGGTCAACACCGGCATCAAACAGCGCCGCCGGGCTCACTCTGACACCCCGGCCGCCATGGACACAAACCTACGCCAAGCGAAAGCCCGCCGGACCCGTGACATAGACACATGGCTTGGGCAGCGGGCACAAGGCCTTCTCGGCAGCACCGACGCACTACACGCCCAACAAATCGCTACACGAAGGCGACGACGCAGACCACCGCGCCGACCACCGGAAACAAGGTCTGCAAGGCACCAACAACTATAGCAACACCGACCAGACACGTCCCACAACACACCACACACTAACGAAGGCCCGGCAGACTGAGGCCGCTGCACGAACCACCCCGGTGTGAACATGCACAAGCTTCCGCTAGATTAGTCTAGTTCGCGGGGGATGCTGCATATGCGCGCGCTCGGGCGATAGAGAGCTTGTAAATACCGCGAAAATTTCAATTTCAATTTTGATGACAAGCCGCGTGGTGGGGACGGTGGTCTTGTGGTTCGCGCGGTTTGCAGCCACAGTTGCTGCTTCCACGGATCGCTCGGAGAGGTATAGTTTTCCACACCTCGCGAACGACCTTTTCACTGCGCCCGAGTTGTTGGGCGACACATCGGCTAGCATCTTTTCCATCTAGGCTTCTGCAGTGTACGGGCACGTGTAATATATCCAGACGCTCCTCGCGGGTGAAGAATCGTGGTCGACATGCCTTCACAAAGGCCTGAGTTTCCGCGTAAAGGCTGGGGTCGTATTTCATGTCCGTGTTATTCTTACGAATGTGGTTCTACATGACTTCTATCCTTACTCGTTTCCTATTCTTGGCATTCTCTATGGCACCCCACTCTATTATCGGTATGACTATTCCTGGGTCAACCAAATGCGACAACATCGAGTGCCTGAAAATGTATAGTGAAATGAAGTGACATCTTGTATCAAAATCTGAAGGTTCAATAAAATGCAGAGATCAAAACCCTTCAAACATAATATTCAATTATCCAGGATCACAGGTTATTGTAGCTTACGGTTGAAATTGACTATCATTCCCAACTGTTTGGTATTGTATCTAAAAAAATATTGCTTTTAACAGTCTATCATACGTACCAGGTATCCTGTAAAATGAAACGATCACTTCTTCTTTTACTCCATTGAAAAATATTTTGATTTGGCTGAGATATGAAAGAAGTGGCACTCGATGCTGACGGCCACTGTAAATTGCAAACTGAGGTCGCTTACTACGAATTACTTTTTGATATACGATGAGCCAATCAGAGACTAATATGTTTCTATTGGCTACAGAAAAAATATCGAGAATTGCCCAAACACGTACGGAGACTCTACCGACCCACAATTGGGAGGATTATTTTTGACCAGTTGCCTGACCGAGTTTCTCCGTGTCAAGTGGGCGCACTTTGCAGGGTGTCGTCGCCCGCACTTCAGAGGGTATGTCCTCATATGTGCGCTTCTGTATCTGACCAATGAGGAACCACCTCGTAGCTAGTCAGTGGGGTGTGGGAGTGCCCCTACACCACTCATCCTAATCCACTCTTCGTTTCTTCCTGTCGTGCGTCTTGCCCTCCTGGACACCTCGCTCAACTCGGTTGTTACCCTCGGACTCGTTGTCCCACCTTCCTCTAAGTGCTTGGGCCTACTTTGCCCCTCCTAACAGGTTATGAGCCCTCACTCAACCTCTGCGCCTCTCTACAATGGGCCTCCCCTGGACGACCACAATCGTACGTTCCTCGAATGGAAACCGCTGTCCATCAGCCAGGCTGATGTCCATGAATTTACTCAGTTCTATATGAACAAGGCTTATGTGCCTTCTGATCTTGAGCGGTCTATTTTGAGCATTCTCGACGACGACGTTCAAGTCGACAAGTTGAAGCAACCTGAGCTTTACCATGTTGAGGATGGCCTTGCAGTGCGGCACAAGGTTATCGTTGACCACGTCCAATCAGTGAAGAGTTCGACGTTAAAGTTCGAGTTCGACGTTAAAGTCCGAGACGGCAAAGTCTCTCTCTATACTGCGCGCACTTGCGCTGACGTTCCTTAACTCCTCGATGGTGGACTCCCTGCGGAAGTTATTCTCCAACATCACTTGCCCCTTTACTCTTTATGAGTCTATTGTGTCACGATTTGAAAATAATCCTATGACTAGCGATCCTTAATGCACAGTCACAGAAGGTCAAGTACCACGACGGCGACTGCTTGGACATCTTACTGGCCGACGTTAGGTCCATCGCCAGCCAGTACCGCACGGCCATGATCCCATCGTCGTTGGTGATCACTGCGGCGGAGTATGACGCCTTTCTATGGGCTAACCATTATATGGTGAAACTGTCGGAAGTATTTTTGGACGACAAACAAATTTGGGATCTCATCCGAGTTATTTCGAGCAATGCCAAGGCCTCCGGACAACCATGCTCTGTCGCGGCTATCGACGCCACCATCAAGGATGCCCTAGCAACGCGTCACCTGCGTTCGCTTGCTCAGCCGACTCCGCTCCCACCCGATCGCATCTGTTCAATGCCGCCGTCGTTGATGCTACTGCCAGTCCCGTTGGTCTAGATTCGACACGGATGCTACCCTCGTATGCTCACACCAAGTGTCATTCCCACTCTGGCCCAGCGTGCTTTTATTGTGGTGATCCCACTCATGTCCTGACCAATTGCAAAGTTCTGGCCTCAGATTATTCGCGTGGTACCAAACGCGACGGTTTTCCGCAAGAAGTGTTCGAAAAACACGGCAAGAAGTCCGCACGACGTTTGTCGTCGCGCAAAATTCGCGATGATCATCCTCGTCGTGACGACTACGACCGTGACAACGGCGATGACCGCGGTGGCGGAAGTGTAGGCGCACCTCGCGGACGTGGTCGTGGCGCCCCGTCGAAGCGCGATCCTTCTCGCAGTCGTAGTCGCAACCGCGGTGGAGATAACCGCAATTGCACTTGGCGCGATGAAGGCTATCGAGTCCGTAGCCGCCGAGGCGTTTCACCGACATCACACTCTAGTAGGGCACGTCGTACTCAAGTTACGCTCAACTCCGCTAGCCATTCCGACTGTCCTCATGTTCCGTCATCGATTACCATCGAGAAGTGTGTCGTTTCGCCCAACTCCAGTGATCGTGTTGATGCCCCAGGTGGTTTGTATCGTAGCCACCGTGACGTTGTTTCGTCTTCTGATATCGGTGTTACCCTTGTGTCCACTGGCTCCGTGGTACCTGTCCATCGTCCTGGTAATCTGTCCCGTCGCGGCGATGTTGATCGTGGTGCTACTCCTACCCGTTGTGACCACTCTCGAATTGGCACCGGCGACAGGGCGCACAATTCCCTGCTTCATGGTCGACTTGGTCATGTGGTTACGGTTACTACTACTGCACCTCCCAGCTCTGGTCGTCGTGTGGACCGAGATGACCATCACCGACCCTCGAAGCGTGTGTGCCGGACTCCACCATCGTCGCATCCCCAGCGTGACACCAGCGCCCCAGATTCCATTTTGGACCAAGTTGTACCTCCCACCGCTTGTGCGGATATGACTACTGATCGTCATCGGGGTGCATCGCCGCCAATCCATGTAGTCGTGGCTGCAAACAACCAGTTTGCCCTCAAAGTCATGTTGACGGGCCATGCTTCTAGCCCTGAAAATCATGATCTCCCCTCCTCAGTGATCTACCCCCCTGGCAAGTTTGCTGCTCTTTCTGAACACTGGATCGTGGACTCAGGCGCCACAAGCTCGTGCATCCCGTACCAGGATTATTTTTCCTCCTATGTGCCTTGCGCGCTATCGCTTACTGTTGGCAACGGGTCAAAGCTCCCCGTAGTTGGGTATGGCTCCATTTCTATGGAAACGCTCATGTCTGCCACTGATGTCACGTTTCCCATGCGTTCGCGGGCCCTCCGCCTCAAGTTTGGTCTCCATTGCCCTCAATTAAGATTCAATCTACTCTCCGTGGCACATGCCGCTGACGATGGATACGCCATTGCTTTCCCCTCCCGTGGTATGTGCACCATCACGACGCCTATCGGTGACGTTGTTAGTGCGTCCACCAACGCAATGGGATTGTTCTCCTTTCATGCCATTCCATATGGACGTTTGAAGGTGGGCCAGGCTGCCCCTGCAATCGACCCCCTCGAAAACAAAGTCTTGCTCACGCAATATCGTGCATTGGAGAAGCGAATTGCTGACTTTAGTAAGTCTCGTGCGTCTCGCACAGTAATTGATGATTTGCATATGTATGCTTACTCTGGTATTTATCGCTACGCTCATCTCCTCGTAACCCCTGCGGCTTCTCCGCTTCACACCCACCCACCAGCTTCTTGCTCCGAGGCGACCTTCTGGTCGGCACTCAACGGCATACTAACCCACCCCCCTCGTCATATCATTGACCCCCAAGCCTTTTCGGTCTCAGTCGACTGTCTGTATAGTCTTGTCAGCGATTCGCGTCTTTCAAACGTCGAGTTGGCTCGACTTTGGCATCGTCGCCTCGGCCACCCTGGCATTGGCGCCCTTGACCATATGATCA